TTACATTGTTAAAATAATTCTACTCAACGGCATTAAACTCTAGACTTGAAAAAATTCCATGTATTCCTCGTTCTAGACCAAACGTTGGTGTGTTTGAGAGATTCGCTTTGTGCTCGTAGGTCAGAAAGGAAGAAAAGTTTTCGAGCAGTGACTGAGGAAGTTCTTCAAATGTAGATTTCGAAGAATTTGTCATTTTTTTCTAAAATATTTTTAGCACAAGAAAAATGAAATGACATTTGTACAAGAACTTTTGCAACGCCCATTTTTTACCGTCAATCGACGTTTGAGCGACCGACACTTGAGTGACCCCGATATTTGAGCGATGCCGACATTTGGGCGACCGACATTACCGCGAACAGGACCCCGACCCTTCCACGAAGTTTTTGCGCCACAGATTTGGGTATTTTGGCAGTGGGTCGTGGGAGGTGGAGGTGTGGGCAGTGTGAGAGTGAGTTCGAAAAGTAGTTTCACACAAAACTGTATATCTGTAACTGGATCACAGTGACTAATCACCACATAACTTCAGTCAGGTTTCATGTCGATCGCTCACATGCCGGGCTCGCTCAAGTGTCCGTCGCTTAAACGTCGGCGTAACTGCCTTTTCATCCTCCCCTCTTGAGTGACTACAAAACGGTGAGAATTTGAAATTTTGATGAGCGAGCGACTCGATTTCCAAGTGTTTTTCGGGACGAAAATTTCTTATGAAAAACGCCTTTGTTTCTTTTCTGACTGTCTGGATAGCAAAAAATAAAAAGTAACTTCCTAGTTAATTAATTTCGAGAAAAGTTTGAATGTTAGTGAAAACAAGTTCTGATGGTGAGTTAGTCACTGGGCGTGATGCAAATAGCTTCTTACGCCGTACTTTTTTAATATGTTCCAGTAAGTAACAAAAAGAATTGACTGTATTTATTCATGCGTGTAGAGGGAGGTTTGCTAACGCGTTTAGCTTTTGTGTTTTACACAATAAGAATATGACCAGTCTCCAGAAACGTTTGTGTCTTTTCGCCGATTCACAATTGGTTTGCGATACACTTTCATTTAAAAGTTCGGATATAACAATCATATGGTTTGACAAAAATATTGACAATGAAGTAAATGATCTGTTATAAAATATCAATGATCATGTTCTGACTGCAAATGACAGACAGCATTCGTCAATTGTATTCAAGCTGTAATCAATGAGACGATCGTTATTGTATTATCTGATGGATGTTCTGAAAATATAATACCTATCATTCATAATAATAAGCAGATCGATTCAATCTATATCTTTTGTATCGATGACTCAAAGTATAAATATTTATGTGATTTGTACCCAAAAATTATAGGCATCTATATTGAGTATCGTTTATTATTTAAATCATCGCAAATAAAAGTACATCTAATATTGACATAGCTACTATCATTAAATCTATTCGATCAGTTGGCAAATTCCATGCGTGATTTAACTCGCGAATCATCGGAATTCTTATGGTATCAGTCATTATGTGATTATATAATGAAAATGGATAGAATAAATAACAGTATAGATCTGAAAATTTATTGTGATAGCAGGCTAATGGTTCAGATTCAACGAATCGTATGATGAGTTGAAATTCGAAGTTATTTTAGCGAAATATAAGCAAAATGATCTCAGTGGACATTTTTTGGCACAAATCAAAAAAACATATTTGGCGTAAAATCAAATTTTCTGTGTTACAAGGCAAACTAGAAAGTTAGAATATTCACTACGTATTATCGGAAGGACGTGAAAAAGGATAAAAGTTTGGGCTTTAACGGATGAACTGTTCCGAAGTTTCGCTCTACCGGCTGTTTGTTTTAGAACTTTTTAAAAGTCGTCTTTAGCATATGACTCTAGTGATCTCGGTGAACAAAATTTTGCAAAAATGTTTCGAAATAGATTTTTGACAGCATCCGATCCAAACCTTATTTTATTTGAATTTAAAGTATATATTTTGCAAACCGGTTTTTCAGGCTGCAAGAAACTCTAAAGAACTTTTAGAATCAGTTTAAATAAATGAGAGAAAAAGTTCATTCTTTCTCCACATGAAGCCAAAAACAGCCGGTTTGGTCTTGTTCGATGTACATCTCGGTATCCACT